GCCCCCCGTTATGTGTTGCACGTACACGTATGAGCTCTCCGCAAAAAAATTATTAAATTTGATACGGATCCTTTCCGGTGAGATGTCTTAATGACATCCTTAGAAAGTAGCGACCGATGAAACAATGAAATGAAATGTCTCGCTCAAGAAGTAGTTCTGCAAGAATTTCAGGGAACACACTCAGGCCAGCTTTAGCCGGTCTTCAGCTTTTGCTTTATTTGAGGGTGCCATCTATATTTTTCACACAAGGGTACTCTTGTTCGCGATAAAATCTTCGCAAAAAAAAACTATCAAACTCGATATATTTCCGGTGAGATGTCTAAAGGACACCTCGTGGAAGGTAGCAACTGATGAAATAACATATTTACTTCAATCTCATCTGCAATTTCTTGGGATGAATTTCCTCAGAGTTCTGATCGATATTATTTTAAATTAAACCGGAAGCTCACTTTTGAATAGGCTATTGTAAGGCCGTCTTACTCGACAGTTTTTTAGGGGAAATTACAGTTTTATGAAAAATCTGAAAGCCAAAACACGGCAAAGGATCGGGCTTGCAAAGTTTGCTTTGAGACATACACCACGGTCTGCAGCGCATAGTTAGGTTTAATTTTTTAGTGAAAATTTTTTAATAAAGAATGTCTTGTAGAGGACATCATAGTAATGCAGAAATTACCTCGAAAAACACTTACTGCGCATTTTGTTGCCCATGTTGTCGTCTTTACGCAGGCAAAGTGCTGAAGTTTTTCTTTCTTTTGCTTTATTGCGGGGAGGCTATAAAGACCAAATTAAAATTTGGCTGTTCTTTCTCCATTTCCTTAACATTTGTACTCGAAATTTTTTGCGATTTTTGCGCAAATTGCGCCGTGAAACACAGTGTGACGTCACGACCGTGTTTCGTACCTCCATCTGAACACATTAATGGACCGATAAGAGCGTCCGCTTTATCGCTTCACGGGTTTTTCAGAACCAACATAGTGACCAGCTTCCAGTTGGCTTGTTAGTTCAACTGGTAGAGCACTGCACCGGTATTGCAGAGGTCATGGATTCAAATCCCATACAGGCCTGAATTTTTTTTCAGGGCTTATTTTCATTACTGCTCAAGTAGTGATCATTACTGCGAAGATCGCTTTCACATTCACGTCTTCATCCGCAGTTCACGTATATGATTTTCATGTATTCACAGATATTTAAAATGTTTTATAAAGCAAAATAAGTTTTCCACTGTTGGATGAAAATTGCTTTTACTAAATGATCTTTCCCTGTAATTTAACTGTTCTGATAACTCATCATAAATGCGCGTGCTACGATGGCTTAGTGATACCTGCTGATCATGAACAATGCACGAACCGCACGCAGCGTTAGCTCCCTTAAATCACGGATGCATAGAGACTAGAGCTATTGGCAGCGAGCGATAATCATCTGCCTTCTCAGTTTACCTACGGTTTCCCCTGCCAGCCCCGGTTTTTTTTATTTTGTTTTGTTTTGTTTTTTTTTGCCCCACTGACTCAGTTCTAAGAAGAAGTTACTCCTGCTAGAGAGCAGGTTTTAATCAGTGCTGTGGCAAAAGCAGCAAGGCACGCGAGATTCGAGTCGGTGATCGAATTGCGAGAAGTCTGTGGGGAGTTCGTCTCGACTAAAAAAATCTCGCTGAGTCGGACCAAGTCGCATTGTAAAGGTAGAAACTCAGTGGAAAAGCTTTAAAGTTAGCTGATTATTTTCACTATTAATCAATTCATTTCCCGAAAAGTTTACTCTTGCTTCCATATTCCTAATTGCACTTGATTGATTATCCTCCTGTATTGTCCTCCTTGATTGATTATCCTGTACTTCCTCAGTCAAGGACTGGATCACGTAGGAACGTGCACAAAGTTCCTGACATGTTAAAATATGCCAAGTCTACTCCGACTTTCACATGTAAAGGAAGTTGAACTGAAGGGAATCTCGCAAAGAATCTTAGTAATAATTCCACGGGCACGTTTTATGTGATGTAGTCACGTTTTCGCTAAATTTATATCAATGTATATTTATCTCCCGTAACGCCCGTTGTTTTTCATAGCAGCAAAGGTCAACTGAAAATGATACACGTTAGCTACCTTTAATCTTATCGACTTCACATAGTACTACGAAATGTACCAAGAAAATCTGGAGGTCAAATGTACAACATTATCAATTGAAGAAGCTTTCGATTGAGGAAATATTCAAGATTGGTAGAACTATATTCATTCAATTCCGCATCAGAAACTTGCTAACCGTGATTGACAACTCATTTGCAAGTAGAGAAGAAAACGCACTGTTACATGCATGCTCAAGAAACAAGTAAATAAATAATTATAGTACATCGACTTTGGTTATAATTGGAAAGCTTGAATGAAATTTTTCATGACCGTACCATGAACTGCGCTTCATAAGTTGATATTTGTCTTAAATCATGGTCAAATAAGGGATCGTTTTGTCCACTACCTTAACTTCGCGTCAAGATTGCTTCCGAATAAGGAAAATAACACAACTTGAGACCGGAGTTAGAAAAGTTGGAGGGAAGTTAATCAGCGACTCATTTGCATTCAGTTTAGGAGAGTCGATTAATTTTAGCCACTCACCCGTCAGCTCCGAGATATTTTAGTTTGGATCAGTTCACTAACTGCGTGACAGGCGATCAGTGAACGGTTGAGCTGTAAATCACAATCAGGTGCGTATTTCACCGCAATAGGATCGTGCATTTCAAAAATTAGACATAACGTTGCGTTAAATAATGCTGGATATCCCTTCGGCTGACTAATCGTCTCTTCAACTTAATATATGGCTTGAAAGAATTATATCACCACTCACATAGAGGTGCAAGGAAAATTGTTCAGGACTGAAATCAAGTTACAGCCGAGGTATGACTGCTGCGCTGTAACTAATCCATATTAGAAAACTTTAATTCCCTCATCGTTCCTCTATCTTCGTTCCATGAGTCAGACTCTCGTTATTTAATGAGGAGATCTGTGAGTTCGGTAACTGACCTTTTTGGAATACCTCTGTCTTTAATCTCCCACGGGTGGTTTGCCTTCGACCGTTGTTTTAAAACGTTACTTCCAATGATTTTTGGAAATACGAGGAAATCTGGGTCTCACGTTCCGGGAATCTATATTCAATGTTATGTCCTACTTTTGTCTTCATTCCACAATTGGATTTTCTCAGCACATTTTACGCACTTATAAAGAGTTGAATTCAGATAAGCTGTATATTTTTCGTTTGACCCAAGCTGCTCCTAAAACAATTATGCGCGTAATAGGACAAGGAATCGAAATACACAGATGAACAATGTAAACTTGATGTCATAACAAAAACATCAAATGGGGTGAAATTTTCAGGTCAAATATTTTGTAAGATACGTTACAAGAGTCCCTTCTGTCTATTTTCCTTTTTGGCTGAGAGGGAAGTTTAAACAGACCTTATATTCTTAATCCTTCTCAGAAACTGAGTTCGTGTTCCTACGTGATCTGGTATTGTTCGAGGAAGTGCTGTTGTAGTATTTATAGGCTCTATGAGTGTAACATCGTAAATGCAGAACGAGTTACTTACGAAGAGAGAATAATTCAAACATAGTGTCTGATCTCTCCGAAAAAATGGTAATACCAGCTATTCTCCGTTTCAAGCAAACCGTAATCTAGTATGCTGGAACGTGAATTCAGGGTTGAATTTAAAAATTCCACTTTATATGCCGCGGGACAAAAAGGCAAATGCTATCAAAATGTCGCGAGCTCAACCAATGTTAAGAGATATTTTACTCCCTTAGCATAATTTTCTCTTTAACCTTTGAATTTTCTTCGCAGGTTTTCCGCCTTGGATGTTACCTACTTCTTCTCCTCCCTGCTCATTTTAACGCCTTGGGATTATCAGTTGTTGAAGGTAATATTTGCATCGTAGTAAATGTACCATCAATATTCAATGATATTATATGCTGCTGTCAAAATGCAGCGTAAAACCAACATGATTTTTAAACAGTTAAAACTGTTCTAAATCAGCAAAAACGAGAGCAAATTACCCCAATTTTAGGAATTCATTTTCTTAAGGTTCAAACAAGTATTGGACAAAATAGGATTAAAATCCATGGAATTCTATTAGCGTGACAGATATTTGTCGGAAGTGCATTTTTCGAACTAATTTCAGCCTTTTACCCCAGGGACTTGCTGTGGGGGCTCTAATACCTCAGGGATAAGCCGGAAGTCCAAACTACTCAGGATTCTTGAATAACTTAATGACCCCAATGAACTGTGATAAACTATGAAGGTTTGAAAGAAATCGGTAAGATGGCATGTATCACGCCTGTCCGGTCCTCTCGTGGACAGACTCTTAAATATATTTTGAGGTCTAAATTGTCGTGGAAGCCTTCTGAAATTATCAGTTATTTATTCTGGGTAGCTATGTAGTGGTTTTGCGAAATTTTCTTTGGGCTTAAAGCCACGGAGCAGACTAAATATTTCAACCTGTAGAATGACAGGAAGGATAGTCCCAGCATCAGAGATCTAACTAATAGCCAATTTGCAGAGATTTTTCTGCATCAAAGCGTCGACATGCTTCGTGCAGGATACATATCACATGAGGCAAGTGACCAGTTAAAACTTGAAGTATTGACGAGCCTGCGTGACACTCCTGGCATCCGCAAGCGATTTTAAACTTCTCTCTTCATAGATCAGTATGTTAACAAAAACAGAACTGTGGTTGGCAAGGATTGTTTGAGATGCTTCATCAAAATCATTCCTCAAATATTTAAGGTTTTGTCAACTAAATCTTATAAAAGCCTTTAAAAAAATCAAACCAGATTTTAGTGGTTCGTTTTTTACCTAACTACTTTTCTGATTTCGCTTTATATAAAAGCCTTACGTACCCTAATTTGGGATAGCTCTTTTTTTTAACTTCAATGAAATACCGGATAGAGTATTGTCTCTACTTGTTTCTATTTAATTTATCCATCTAAAAGTCTTTTAGCTCTGTTTCCTTCGATTAACTCTTATTATTTACTCTGTCGGGGTCTGTTTTCCTGTAAAAAAACGAAAAACAACAATTTATTATTAACTCGATTAATATTAAGGATATCAAGCAAATACAACTGAACCAAGCACAATATGTAAAATGTAGATGGCTAACACTTCTATCTGATTGGCAGTCTATGGTAACTTTTCGAAAAAAAGAAAAAAAATATATATATATAGAAGTGAAAGAATCAAAGAGGACGCATCGATTCTCTGTTACTCAGAGTTTCGCGACTAAACGCTCGTCAGATAGAACTATATATATATGTTTGACTAGTCAAGATAACAAAGGATCCCCGCCGGGACAGTCAGCGACCAGTAAGCCATAGCCACCTTCACATCTAACTTAACTTTAATTTATGAAATACCTGTTCTCACCGAGTCTTACCTCTGTTTGTGAACTCGAGCCTAACATCATCTCCAATCAGCGTAAACGAAGCCCACTCAGACACTTTGGTCAAGCCGTTTTTTCTCATCCACTTCATGGCCCGATGAAGGGATTCACTGGCACTTTCTCCTTCAACAAGGTGTTCGTAGAACCGACTCATCAGCTTCTCTGTTGCTGAGTCTGAAATGGCCCACAGCGCAACCAACACCGAGCGAGCACCGGATCCTAAGAACGCACGGGCAATTCCTATAACTCCCTCGGCTGTTATCTCTCCACTTCCACTGTGACAGCAGCTAAGTACCACCAGTTTGGCTCTGATTTTCACTCGTGAGACATCAGCCATCGTCAACATGTAAGCTTCCTGTGGGATAGCGTTTCGACTGTTGGCAGAAGGAATGGGGGAGAGGGCAATTTCTCCCCTTTCGGCGTTACCATGGGCAGCAAAATGTATTAGGCTCACTGAACTTATCCGCTCTATTACTGCCTGCTTCGTTGCTTCCTCTTCAACCAGGGGGGGAACGCCCAGCAGTAGTCCGACCATCTCCGCTTCCTTTCTTGCACCTGGCAATGGCGACAGCCCATCAACCGTGGGATTGCCTATTATCAAGGCACCAGTGTTGCTGTGATAGTCCTCTGGACTATCTTGAATCATCTTGAGTGTTGTCAAAGAAGGAATGATACGGATCCTACGAGTCTCTGACAGGTATTCGGCTCCCTCCTTTTCACTCAGGGCAGCAAAGGGAACTTTGTACAAACTGCGGTCAGGAACAATAATCACTTCAGGCTCCTCAAGCAAATCATAAACAGGGGCAATAAACATTTTGTAACACAAGGATAGACTTGAAATGACTTCCTCGTCCTCGCCCTCCTCCACGAGTCGCAACCTTGCTGAGCTTTTTTGTTCGGGGGAGAGAGGTTGCGATTCAACCACATTTAAAGACCGATCTTCACAATCTTCAATGGGCAAAATACCAAGACTCCGGAAATTTTTAGCCAAAAATTTACTCAGAGGCAAGTCTTTGGGCAACCCGGCCTGAACTAGATTCTCTTCAGGTGATATTCTTCTATAGTGAAGGACTCCACTTGTTTTCAAGATCCACAAATGCAGATGATTGTGAAAATAAGAAATGTACAGACAAGTACAGTTGTTTTTCTTTCTAAAAATGTTTTCAATGCCAAACCAAGATTGTGGATTAGCAGAGATGTGCGTATCAACCGAGTACTTCTCTGCCATCAAGTCTGATAGGCCTCTAGCTCGACCCAACTCCTCAACGTAAAGAGCATCACGAGTTTTTCCGGTGTCACAAAGCAGAGTGCAAAGCAGCTTGTAGGGGAATATTCCTGAGTGCTCCAGAAATGATGTTTTGAACTGATCATTGGCGCCCAAGAAAGATCTCAGCTCCTCATACTTTTCAATACAAAGTTGAAGACACGAAAGGGAGTCTTCGACTTTATTTTGAAATAAATACAAAATGGCGTATTCTTGAAGAATTTGGAACACTGTTCTTCTATCTCCAATATCTCTGGATATGGATAAAGCTTTCTCCAAGCATACTTCCGAAGCTTCATAATCTCCAACAGTTCTGGACATATTTCCAAGATTTGCAAGATCTACTGCCTCCCCTCCCTTATCACCGATTTCAGTTCTGATATTAAACGCCTTTTGGAGATACTTTCTAGCCTTGCCGTATTGCCCGAGTAAATGAAACACAGTACCTAGGTTTCCGTAGTCAGTTGCTTCTCCTTTTCTGTCGCCAATCTCAGTTCTGATGACAAGCGCCTTTTGGAGATACTTTATAGCCTTGCCGTATTGCCCAAGTAAATGAAACACAGTACCAAGGTTTCCGTAGTCAGTTGCTTCTCCTTCTCTGTCGCCAATCTCAGTTCTGATGACAAGCGCTTTTTGATGATACTCTTTAGCCTTGTCGTATTGCCCGAGCGAATGAAACACAGTACCTAGGTTTCCGTAGTCAGCTGCTACTCCTTTTCTGTCGCCAATCTCAGTTCTGATGACAAGCGCTTTTTGATGATACTCTTTAGCCTTGTCGTATTGCCCGAGCGAATGAAACACAATACCTAGGTTTCCGTAGTCAGCTGCTACTCCTTCTCTGTCGCCAATCTCAGTTCTGATGACAAGGGCTTTTTGATGATACTCTTTAGCCTTGTCGTATTGCCCGAGCGAATGAAACACAATACCTAGGTTTCCGTAGTCAGCTGCTACTCCTTGTCTGTCGCCAATCTCAGTTCTGATGACAAGCGCTTTTTGATGATACTCTTTAGCCTTGTCGTATTGCCCGAGCGAATGAAACACAGTACCTAGGTTTCCGTAGTCAGCTGCTTCTCCTTCTCTGTCGCCAATCTCAGTTCTGATGACAAGCGCTTTTTGATGATACTCTTTAGCCTTGTCGTATTGCCCGAGCGAATGAAACACAGTACCTAGGTTTCCGTAGTCAGCTGCTACTCCTTTTCTGTCGCCAATCTCAGTTCTGATGACAAGCGCTTTTTGATGATACTCTTTAGCCTTGTCGTATTGCCCGAGCGAATGAAACACAGTACCTAGGTTTCCGTAGTCAGCTGCTACTCCTTCTCTGTCGCCAATCTCAGTTCTGATGACAAGCGCTTTTTGATGATACTCTTTAGCCTTGTCGTATTGCCCGAGCGAATGAAACACAGTACCTAGGTTTCCGTAGTCAGCTGCTACTCCTTTTCTGTCGCCAATCTCAGTTCTGATGACAAGCGCTTTTTGATGATACTCTTTAGCCTTGTCGTATTGCCCGAGCGAATGAAACACAGTACCTAGGTTTCCGTAGCATGATGCCTCTCCTTTTCTGTCGCCAATCTCAGTTCTGATGACAAGCGCTTTTTGGAGATACTCTTTAGCCTTGTCGTATTGCCCGAGCGAATGAAACACAGTGCCTAGGTTTCCGTAGGCAGCTGCTACTCCTTTTCTGTCGCCAATCTCAGTTCTGATGACAAGCGCTTTTTGATGATACTCTTTAGCCTTGTCGTATTGCCCGAGCGAATGAAACACAGTACCTAGGTTTCCGTAGTCAGCTGCTACTCCTTTTCTGTCGCCAATCTCAGTTCTGATGACAAGCGCTTTTTGAAGATACTCTTTAGCCTTGTCGTATTGCCCGAGCGAATGAAACACAGTACCTAGGTTTCCGTAGTCAGCTGCTACTCCTTCTCTGTCGCCAATCTCAGTTCTGATGACAAGCGCTTTTTGGAGATACTCTTTAGCCTTGTCGTATTGCCCGAGCGAATGAAACACAGTACCTAGGTTTCCGTAGTCAGCTGCTACTCCTTTTCTGTCGCCAATCTCAGTTCTGATGACAAGCGCTTTTTGATGATACTCTTTAGCCTTGTCGTATTGCCCGAGCGAATGAAACACAGTACCTAGGTTTCCGTAGTCAGCTGCTACTCCTTTTCTGTCGCCAATCTCAGTTCTGATGACAAGCGCTTTTTGAAGATACTCTTTAGCCTTGTCGTATTGCCCGAGCGAATGAAACACAGTACCTAGGTTTCCGTAGTCAGCTGCTACTCCTTCTCTGTCGCCAATCTCAGTTCTGATGACAAGCGCTTTTTGATGATACTCTTTAGCCTTGTCGTATTGCCCGAGCGAATGAAACACAGTGCCTAGGTTTCCGTAGTCAGCTGCTACTCCTTTTCTGTCGCCAATCTCAGTTCTGATGACAAGCGCTTTTTGAAGATACTCTTTAGCCTTGTCGTATTGCCCGAGCGAATGAAACACAGTACCTAGGTTTCCGTAGTCAGCTGCTACTCCTTTTCTGTCGCCAATCTCAGTTCTGATGACAAGCGCTTTTTGAAGATACTCTTTAGCCTTGTCGTATTGCCCGAGCGAATGAAACACAGTACCTAGGTTTCCGTAGTCAGCTGCTACTCCTTCTCTGTCGCCAATCTCAGTTCTGATGACAAGCGCTTTTTGGAGATACTCTTTAGCCTTGTCGTATTGCCCGAGCGAATGAAACACAATACCTAGGTTTCCGTAGTCAGCTGCTACTCCTTTTCTGTCGCCAATCTCAGTTCTGATGACAAGCGCTTTTTGATGATACTCTTTAGCCTTGTCGTATTGCCCGAGCGAATGAAACACAGTACCTAGGTTTCCGTAGTCAGCTGCTACTCCTTTTCTGTCGCCAATCTCAGTTCTGATGACAAGCGCTTTTTGAAGATACTCTTTAGCCTTGTCGTATTGCCCGAGCGAATGAAACACAGTAGCTAGGCTTCCGTAGTCAGCTGCTACTCCTTTTCTGTCGCCAATCTCAGTTCTGATGACAAGCGCTTTTTGATGATACTCTTTAGCCTTGTCGTATTGCCCGAGCGAATGAAACACAGTACCTAGGTTTCCGTAGCATAATGCCTCTCCTTTTCGGTCGCCAATCTCAGTTCTAATGACAAGCGCTTTTTGGAGATACTCTTTAGCCTTGTCGTATTGCCCGAGCGACTGAAGCACTGCTCCTAGGTTTCCGTGACAGGATGCTTCTCCTCTTTTGTCGCCAATTTCGGTTGTTATGGCAAGGGCCCTCTGAAGATACTTCTTCGCTTTAAGGTTTTCGCCAAGTTTATGAAACATATTTCCGAGTCTTATGCAGGCGCTTGCTTCTCCATTTTTTTCACCCGTCTGTCTCTTTATATTAACTGCTTTTTCATAAAGGTTTTTGGCGTCTGTAAACCTGTTTTGACTCTCAATTATCTCTGCTAGAGCCATGCTTACATCTCCTTCTGTTACTAAGTCACCAGTCTCGCTGAGTAAGACAAGCAGTTTCATGCCGTATCTTTCCGCACTGATGTAGTCAGAGATACTACGATAAGCGCCGAAAAGAGCAGAATAAATGGCCTTGTATATTAGTGGGAGTCGTGAAATGAATTGGTCTTTGCTGTTTTGATCGGTGTTATTTAGCAAAATCAAACATTCGTTCCATATCTCAATGGCTTTCTGAATGCGATCTGAGTTGAGCAGGAACAGGCCAACTACTAAGGCGATGTACATGAAAGCTATCATGGCTTCCGTCTGCTGTTTGGTTTCCATTGCCATCCTCTCCTGTTATTGAGGAAACATTACTTTTAGTAACACAAGTTAACCAAGTGATTCGCTAATCTGGATTCATAATGAGTCACTACAAACAGGGACCCACATGTGAAGTTACAAAAACGGGCTGAGTCGATTACACCTGGAAACTTCTTGTAACGAGCTGAAAGTGTTAGAATTCAAAATATCGACTTAACACAAAAAAATAAGTGAAGAAGAGGCGTGGATAAGTACAACTGAAGTACATCACAACGGATCACATTCGGTAAAACTTGTCAAATCAGTTTGACCTGCACAGTTTTTTTTTTAAAACGGACTGTGTGACTGTCACACTGTGAGAGTCAACTTTTATCCGAGTGATTTTTGATCTAGCTGTTTTGCTTGTTCATCTTATCAAGTAAAAAAAATAAAAGACGCGCGCTTGAGTTGACTAATGATCGTGCGTCGAGGGCTCGCGCCATCAATTGGGAGCTTTTTAAAGGTCGCGGGTTTCTTAAAAAGAAAAAAGGGTATCACGACCATGACACGCTTGTGTACATAGAGGTTACTTCATGGAAAATGCGCGCGTACGATTTTTATTCACGAGTTGTGTAGTATCAGAAAGCGAACGAGTGAGTTTTCTTATACGTATCAACGAGTGAATGAAAATCGTACAAAGCATTTTCCATGCTGTAATGTGTTTATTTCATAGGTGCTGAGATTTTTTCGTGTTGTCTTTGGTAGACAAATAGCACAAATGGGGCGATGAAAAGCGTAAAAAGTAGTTTAAAAATTTCTCAACAACAAGTTAATAAAAGTGCATAAAGTTCATAACACTTAAGCTTTCCTGTGTTCATCAGATATCAATCAAGTTCAATGTCTATTAATATTATAATAAAGGAAGCCATGCCAACAAACTACTTAGTGTCATGTAAAGAAAGTCAATATTCAGTTATCATCAGAGTCACTTTCCAGTTCTCGTACTCGTTGCCATCTTTAGTGCGTACGGAGATAATAAATTCGCTAATGAATTCATTCAACTCAGCCGCTGGAATATCTTCAATTTTCCTGTCTTCGTCCTTCGTTTTCAAAAATCTTTCAAGCAATCTTACATCTCTTTCAGTTTTTTGAGCGGTATTTTTGTTTTCGTGTTCTAAAATGAATTCTTCAACTGAGTAAACAGAAGCGAACCTTCCCTCGGCCATTTTTCAAAGCGCGCGGGTTTTGTGCAACGGCTCTCGCATGACGTTCTCTTCAGTACGTTCATTCATCATTAGTGAAATTTCGTCGTTCGCGTTGCTGATTGGACGAACGATAATTTTTCACGGTGAAATTTTGTCGTTCGTACTCCTGATTGGCTACATTTAGAATCAGTACGAATTTTATTCACTACGATTTTTGTGGGTAAATCTCAGTACCTATATAATAAAAGTCGAATCTGCCGCGATCTCTGAATCGTTCGTTGATCTCATAAAATCAAGTCAAATTAAAAGCTAATGCAGGTCAAAGCCACTGGCAAACCACGTAATGAACCACCACGGATTTCCATCAGCGAGGAACAGTCCACAACATAGATAGATGTCTGATTTTATTTTTATAATCATCAATTTCTCAAATTGAACGATACTCAATAACCTTAGTTAACGAGGATAAATTATACGGTATAAGCCACAGAGATTTGAAAAAGTCGCCGTAGAATGAGTCTATTTCATTGTGGTGGCGATTCAATTGCGCCATTTACCGCTTTAACGAAGGGCTAACGCTCGAAACGAGTCAACTTCATATTGCAAACACAAGGATCCAAAAAGCATTTACTGGGCTTTGCCATAAGAGCCTTACCTCTCTACAGCTACTAAATAACGATAGCTGATAAAAAGCAAGTGACTAGAAAAGATTTCCAATCGCACTTACCAAGATGTTGACAACGTGGCTGATGCTTTGAAAATGAACCAACAAAAATAACGAATTACAGTCGGGACTTTTCTCAACCTTCCAAACTTCTGCTGTCGCAGTGTTTTGGGTATCCAGATCACTTGTGTTTTAGGTTATTCTCTTCCCCCCTCTAGGCTAATCGAAATAAAAAGGAAAGTTTTAATTGTATAATTTTTTTGTGTGCTCCTATACCTATTTATTGCGTCCTATTTTGGTTGAAATTTTCAGCAGATAGTGGTCATATGATAAAGTGCTTATTGATGTGAATTTGGTTTAACTCTCGTTCACGAAGCAAGGACCTCGCTGTGCTTGGTCCGTAGGTTAGGACCCCGAGCCAAATATTAGTTCCTGTCCGACCCTACCACTCAAGCAATGAGTACACAATATTTGGGTTTTGTACGTCACACTATTATCACTAATGATGTAATTGAACATGAAAAATGAAAAGTGTTATTCTTTTTTATTCTTTTTTAATAGGGAGCGTCAGGCTTTAGTGTGGGCCTCTTTGAAAGGTTTGATTTTCATCACAAGATCGACCACAGTACAACCTAAGTTTCTTTCTTTAAACGGTTAACTATTTGTGCGTGACAATCGACTCCTGGTCTTCGTAAACTTTTCACTTTCTAGCGAGTGTGATTTGCATGATCGAAGCCAGAAATGCTAAAAAAACTAAGTGACTATATTTCGGTTTGGCACGTTACACTTTTATAACTAAAGATGAGAAATGAAACATTTTACCCTGTTTATGATGGGAAACGTCAGGCTTCAGTGTTCATCCCTTTAGGAACGGTTGGACTTGCATCACGAGATCGATCAGATCGAGAGTACAAATTAAGTTTCTGCCTTTAAACGGTAAGCTATCTGTGCGTGAAAACTGACCCGTTGTACTCATGAACTTTTCATTTTCTTGCGAGTGTGATTTGCATGATCGAAGACAAAAATAGTAACTTTTGTAATACATAAAAAAACGGACGGAATGGATCGGTAATTTGCTCGAAAATAACTTCATTACTTGTCTTAACTTTGAAGGTATTTTAATACAGTGACTGAAATATGGCAACAAGCAAAAACCAAATGACAGAGAAAGGAGGTAGCTTGACTTTCAGTGATAAACAATAGTTATAGTTAATAGTTTAACATATTTCTTTTAGGAAGAGGAGAGACGTGGAGAAAATGGACTGGACCACAGTTAAGTTGTAGGATCCGCGCATCCGGAAGGCACTCTCTTGAAAACTCTTAGCGGAATTTCGCGCTGCTTTAACCTTTTTATTCCCTCTTTTCCTCAGACAATTGCAAGAAACTTGCAACTAGAGGGCACTAACACCGAGCGATTATTTGAATGATAAAAATTATATATGGCTTGGGTTCTTCCCTGTCTTCGAAAAATAACAAACAATTGCAAGTTTGACAGGCTTGCTTCCCGTTTAATTTAGTATTGATGTCAACATTACCTGATTTCTCCAAATTCGGGGAAACTTCGTGTTCCAAGGCTACACGGTCAAAGCCAAACAAGTCACAATTGAGAATTATGGGCTCACTGTAGTAGAGGGAGGATCTCAATGGGGTGATGGCTTTTACGGCTGAAGGTTCCAACTCAAGCGAATGAATTTCGGTTTCTTACGTCACGCTTTTATAACCAATGATGGAATTGAAAATGTAAAAATAACTTATTTCATTAATTTTTAACAGGGAACGTTCAAACGTCAAAACAAAGCCATGAGGATTATTCTGGGGGCCAACAGAACCACCTGCACACAATATGTGAGGAACAGTCTAGGGCTGTTAACCACCTGCACACAATATTATTGTATAGTTATTAACATTATACAAAAGAGACGATTCCTCAGATTTGTTTTTATTTTTAGGATTGTACACGACTAAAACTTCCCCAAGCAACAAGAGGTTTACCTAACCAGTGGGTTTGAGCTCCAAAACAGAAATCTACGGAACCAAGGCACTCTCGACGTACTACAATCTAAGACTTCTTCAGGAAGAAAGACTTTCCAAATTGCTGGTGCAAGTGACTGGAACTCGCTTCCCTCAGAACTTAGGATAGGCTCTTTTTAAATTAAAATTGATGCATCTTTTTATTTATGTGTCCTTTTAAGCAGCGCGATATGTCTGTTATGACCAGGGTGCCAAATTTTATTCTTTAATTTTGATCTTCTCCACACTGTGCATAGTTCATGACCTGATATTTCAACGTAAATTATCGAGAAGGCGCCTTCTGATCATCTTTGTCTACTTTGTAAGTCACGCAAGCGCGCTAGCGTTACGACCGATCACGTTTACGCAACGTTTTAGGACAACTCGGCATCTAATCTCCACACACTTGCAGTGAAAACCTAAAATCCTCAACGTAGGAGATAAACGAACGAAGTTTGAACTGTCAAAAGGAGATCTTGGTCTATTCCAAGAATCATGCAAATGATCTTTGACACGAGCTCAATTGAGCAAACACGTAGATTTGCGTTGTTTTTAAGACGTTGATGGATGGAAGTTAGAGATATACCCGCGGGTTTGAGGCAATCCATGACCTCATTGGTGTATAAACTATGCACTAATATGCTTTTTCAGCCCGATTAACGCCTGCATTTTAAGAATTCTTTCGTACAAAGTAGTGAATTTTTAACATGCAAATTAAGGTCAAAGAGAAGGGTCTCCTGTGATCACGGTGGTATGAAAAATATTTCAGCTGAAGTTTCCATATTTTGTCTGTGAACTAACTGAATACACCTAGTAACTTGTAGCAAGATAGAATTCCGTGAGCTACATTGTTGCAGTCGCTGCGCGCTGGACAAAATCTTTGAAATTTACACTTTCGATCGCTGTTCATAGGGGTGGTCTGCCCAAAAATCATTTTTGGCCTGTGGCGACGCAAAAAGAGAGAATTGGAGAACAACTAAACTCTTTTTGAAACATGTGTCCTACACCCTTTTTATGGGCAAAAAATAAAAGAAAACTTTTTTCCGACGGGAAGTCGAGAGGACCGTTCTTAGAGGGAGTGGCACTTAATAGCTGAAGTCACATTCCCTTTGCTTTTCTCCTAATCTAGTTTTAAGATAGAGGAATTGTTATTTAACGTTTCTCTTCTCTCGACTGTTTTGTTTTCATAATTTTGACAAGACGCTTACTATGCTTACACATGGGAAATAATAGATTTATCGCTGACTCTTCAAAGTACAAGAATGAAATCTAAATATTGAGGCAAGGAGCATGGGACTAATTTTCATATATGACTACGACGACACTCAAGTGAATTTTTAATAAGGTCTACCACAGGCACACATTTGGTTTGGTGCTGATCTGCAATCAGGATCACCTTACTTTCCGCAGTCGATCGGCGATGCATCAGTGGCCCAATCCCCCGAGATGAATTCAATATGTATACTTTTTATCTTTTTTGAAAAGTAATTACACAACTAAATACCCCCCAATTGGGACTAGAAATCCCATAACTAATGAAATGAGAGTTGATATTTCAAAAGTAAAATTATCTTCGCCTGTAATAGATACTTTCATAATCCTGTAGATTTTGCTTAAGTGTATCATTTCAAATATAGAATCAGCAGGCAAGTTCCCGTTACGGGCGAAGAGGCATGTGTTGCAGTTTGGCAGTATGATCAGATGTGAAACTGGCAGATCAGCTCTTAATTATCTTTTTTATGGTTGTTACTGCGGTTTGGGTGGAAAAGGAACACCTGTAGACGGGGTTGACAGGTAAGTTAACTTTCGATATGTAAAAAGATGATAAAGTAGAAACTTTCTTGGCAGCTCTCGTGAGTGGTTAGCTATACTAATAACCTCCTTTGCAATGCCTGTCGGAACTGCCATATTACCTACTAACTGCACATTTCCTTAAGCTGTTGCAGACACTTTTTTAGTTACGATCTAGAACTTTCCTTTTTCTTTAAGCCCCTGTAAGAAGAAGCCCTAAAGCAAGTCCCTTCGTTTTCTCGCGCTTACTTAATTCCAAGGAACATGATCAATTTCCGAACTTTATTGATTCTTAGTGTTGTTTACTTCTATGAAGTCCAATAAATGAACATAATGAGATACAAGGGTAGAAAAGTGTTTGAGATCAATGTTTGTAAAAAGAAAATTCTCTCTTGCAGGTGCTGTAAGGAGCATGATGACTGTTACCTACGCGTTAAAGACTCCGAAATCTGTTTTTTTAGCTTTGATGTTTACATCGATGTTTACAGAAGGGTCGGATGCAGCGGATGTGGTATGGAATAATACATTTTGCTTTCTTTCCTTCTTTCTTTGCAAATTGTATAGCCAGAGTTAAAAGATTTAGTCATGATATGAGTCTTGGCTGCCTGTAAAGTCATTCTAGTTTGGCAACATATGAATCGTCGTATTGTTGTCAATAATCATTGATATAAATTTTTTTCCAATGTTTCAGCTAGTAGACCAAGCAATAATGCATGTGAACTTGCCATCTGCAAATGTGACAGTACTGCAGCTAGATGTTTGGGCAAATTCGATTCGTGGTACAAATATTATCCCAATTTCCTATGTTAAGAAAAAATTATGGAAAAGAGTGACAACCTCTCACTCAAACACTTGTAAATGTTAATGTTATTAAGGCAAATAAAAAGTGACTTTAGATGTGCAAATATACTTTCAGTCATTGGCGCACAAAAGTCTTTTTTTGATTTTCCTCACTTGAACGATCAGACCACAAGATCAACGGTTATTCTCGGCTTCAAACAATTCACGGTCGAAAACTTGTGTCCTCAAAATTGTTTTTTGAATTTACTTGTTATAAAACGAATAAAATCTTTCCATGTTTCATTCCAGAGCCATAATGTATAATACAAAAACGTGCTGGGTTCACAAACCACCCAGTAATTTTTAGCGGGTTGGGACAAATCTTTCTTCCCAGGCTTTCTCTGAACGATTTCCGCAACGGATCTTATAATCAAACACCACGCACCCTGCGCTAGGCTTCTCTACTTCGCAAGAAAGAGATTACCTTCAACAACTTAAGCTTTCAAAATGGTGATAGTGGCAACAACGATCGAAACAAGAAAATACCATCCACAAAAAGCCTATAGAAAAATAAATATAATATGACGAGTTAATGGACAAAACTTTGGATCTATTAAAGCTAACTGTTCCTGCTATTCATTAGTGCTGTAACTGATTTCCTTCTCAAATTGGAGGCAATTCTTCTCGAAAACTCTTGCAGGAATTAGCGAAGACTTAGGCCGAGTTCAAATAGCCTCATCTAAACACGACAGAGGTTGGGAGAATATAATTCAAAGTAATAAAGAATGTCTCGTGGAGGACATCATAAGAATCCAAAATTACCTTGAATAACGCTTACTGCGCATTTTGTTGCCTATTTCGTCGTCTTTGCCTGAGTTCCCTCGACGAGATCATCCTTTCTTTTGCTTTTTTTGACGGTGGGGAGGGGGGGGGGGCGATGATAAAGACCAAATCAAAATTTGGCTACTCTTCTCCATTTCCTTAACATTTATACTTGAATTTTTTTGTGATCGTTGCGAAAGCCTTGAAATATTTTCAAATTGCGCTGTAAAACAAAAATTGTGTCGTTACAAACCGTGTTTCATACTTCCATCTAAACACATTAATCGAGCAATGAGAGCGCCCGCTCTATTTAGATATTTTATAAAGCTACACAACTTTCCACTGTTGGATGAAAACTGCTTTTACTAAATGATCTTTCCCTCTAACTTAACTGTTCTGAAAGGTCATCGTAAATGCGCGTGCTTTAATGACTTAGTGATAACTGCTGATCATGAACAATGCACCAATCACACGCAGCGCTAACTCCCTTAAAGCGCGGCCGGCACAGCCTCAATTTAATCAATGTTTTTAATTAAGGAGGAAGTAGTGACTGGCTAAATTTTATCAGTTTGTCAGAAATGAACGAACAAATGATTATTGGTAAGGGCGTTGTAAAAACGAGGTAACTCTTTCCATATATATTTATCATTACTTTAGAGTAAATGTGATAATAATTTTAACGATTTCGCTGAATGTTTATCGGTGTCAAAGTAATACTTTCCCTTTACACTTTTCTTTCCGGTTGAGGGAATAGTATAAACTAACGTACACTTACTCAGAAACTCAGAACACAAAATGCAGTAAGTTAAACATTTCCATTTTAATTATTTTTCAAATCGATGTTGTGGATAACCGAAAGTGGACACCTAAAATCAAAGAAAATCGTGCACGAAACGGCATACTAAAATTCTCCGCGCTACAGCTCACTTTCTTATAAGGCTAAAGGCAAAGTAACAGCTAATCATAGATTACCTAACGTTCTTGGGAATGCAGTAAGTGCTTGAACTATCGAGGAAGAACTTCTTGATTATTTGAAGCCTCCAGGAGTTTTCAAAACTGCTGTTGAATCGAACTACGAAGAGTGGAAACTTCGATCACTTGCCTGGTGCAGAAAGTTTTGAGAAAATTAACCTAGAAATCATGGTAATTTGATGAGTGTTGATGCACCGTTAAATTTTAGATGCCTTAATTCTGATCCGTTTGGTTAATTTTTCTTATTTTTCAGGCCTTTCGTTATCTTTTAGTATTAGTACTTGCTGTTTTCACTATCCTGAATATTGAGGAAGCTCAAGGTAAATCAATTTTCAACGAGTAAAGCTATTTTTTTTTATTTTTTTTTCTCAGTGATTTGATTTAATAATACAGAAACTCAAGGAGTAAATTCATTTTCATGACAAAAGACTTCATGTCGGTGATTTAGAATGTGGTTGTGCATTGTGTGACTTGGACCGAAGCTAAGCTTGCAATCAATGTTTTGAAAGCTGTCTTAGGTGAACACACAGAGTCATGATTGTGAATGTTTGGCGATTGAATTTTAGGTGACTGCTATAAAACATGGAGCAGGTGTTCGAGATGGAGTAGCTGGGGCACTGGAACATTGTGGAAGACCTGCAATGATAAGTAAGTTTTGATTCACGAATTCTTCGTTTGTAACTTGATGTCATTGTGAGCAGGCCTGAGTAGACCTGGTAGGAAATATAGACAACAAGCTATTCAGAAAAAGAAAATTAGCCACAAGTATTGAAAAGTAAAATCATGATCCGAGGAAATGGTCAAAGCTGAACAAATAAAACTAAGTATATAGAAAACTTGAAGCCAGGTTCAACTACGCGAGGATACAAAAAGGTGTAATAAACACTAGCACGACTAGCTGCCCGTGGGTGTAACTGAGCTATTCGGGCGGTGTGCGTTTCCAATTATCGTAGTCCTAAAATTAGGTTGTATTACAAGATTTAAGATTGTCACGAAGGGTTTCGTTTTAATTCGCAGATGCATTGAGCTGGGTTACCCTGGTGGAAGTTGTCAGCTCTGTCCCAGCACTTGTTGAATGAGCGACAAAGCTTACCAGTGCAAGTGTTTTGGAACCGGATCCTGTTGAAAACGCAGTCATGGTTGTTTGGAACAACAACGACAAGAATTTCAAAATAATGCAGCTTTTAAAACAAGATAGATGATTAGTTTTTCCTGCGGTTTAATTTATAAAGCTAGAGTGGAGTAAAGTGTATGCATAGCCATGTGAATCTTGTTTATGAATAAAATGCTTTGTCATATCGCTGGTTCAGTGTTACTCATGATTTGTTCCTAATTCCTCACGGAATAACGTGTTACAACCTGACATCGGTATTGAAGTTCTCCATACTGTTCTCTGTACTTTCGTATGGTTCTTACAAGGAGAATTTCTCCATACTGTTCTCTGTACTTTCGTATCGTTCTTACGAGGAGAATTTCTCTAACAATGAAGATCTTCTTTCGTTCTCGAGAATTTCCTTTATTCTAATGATCCTAATGGGAGAGTAATACTGTGGGGAGAAATTAGATGCTTATCACTCTTAGAGGTTAAGGGGTCCAGTTGCATTCCTTGGCGTCCTTTCCAGTCTTTCTTTTCAAGTAGTTATTTGAATTTTGGTTTGGAGGAGATGTTTATTGCACAGCCAAACAGTCATGAGAAAGTTTTACTGCTATTCACTTTTTAATTTGTGCGTTGAAAACTCGTGATATGATTGATATGATTGGCCCAGACAAAACTAAAACAAAGTGATGTGACCGAGAGAGGATTGGAACGATACTTTTTCTTGCTATCTCCCTCTTAGAGGGCATATTGTAATGCTCGGCAGAACAGATTTAAAAATTTTAAGAGACATCATTGACTCATTTTTTCTGTATTACTGTACTACAGATCTTATTTTCGATGGACATGTCATCTTTATTCTCGCCCCCCGTTATGTGTTGCACGTACACGTATGAGCTCTCCGCAAAAAAAATTATTAAATTTGATACGGATCCTTTCCGGTGAGATGTCTTAAGAGCGAATTTTTTTTATCACCGCGTGGGAGGTGGCACATGATCGGAAAAATCACTATCCTCATATTTCGCTCAGAGATACCTTAGGGTAAGTCTATAAACGTGGTATAATTTTTTTGTTCAAAGCTGTTTTTATTTTCTAGAAAATCACCAAACACTACATCGAGCCCCAACCGCCATAAAATGACCGAAATGAAGTCGACGAGAAGGGCAACAAAACCTTTATTCCTCAAAAGCGCAAAAGAAAGCAAGTCTTTCTGAATTTTACCTATTTGTATACGAGGTATTAAAAAATGATTTGAATTTAATAACGGGCTTGTTGACATAACTATGAATTATTGGCGAATATTTGAAAATAGCCAAAATTTGATTGATTAAAAATTACATTTTGGAGCAGTTTTTCAATAAAAATTTTTCCTACCTGGTATAACTCGGAATCACTTGAGATGAGCATTTTTACAAAGTGGAAAGAATGTTCTTTCCATGGATATAAAAATTAATTTGGGGCTCTTAATTACTGCGAAGAAGTAGCTCGGTCTATTTCGTGCAAATCGCAATGCCGCCATGTAAACAACCGCAGATAATCCAATTAGGCTTTTTATTATCGAAGCCATAATTCCAACAAAATCTTATCGCTTTGACCTATGCTAGATTGTAAACTGGATTTCTTAGGCTCACCTGGCGAAAAACACCTTTCTAAGATTGGTTCCTTGCCTCAATCTTGTTATAAAGAGACTTGACAACAGCTTCGATAGTACAGCACTACAGGCGGTGTATACCAAATCACAGTGAAAACATCTCACGAAGGTTCCTGCCGGAAACGTCGCATTGCTGGACAGTTATAACCATATTTCAGCTTGGAACACTCACATTTTACATGTCTTCCTTTCACAATAAGAATGGAAGTTTGGTTTTTTTATAGAACGAGCCAGAGCATCCTGACAGATGAAATGAATCATTGACGTTCGTTTTTTGCGATGGTGTCACGCAATAACATGTCACTCGAAAGGAGACTCGGTTACCAATACGCTCTTATTTTCTTTCCTTCTTATCCCCTATTTTTTATTTCCGGGAAAAAGTTTTAAATCCAGAATTTAAAATTACCGTTGTTTGCATTTTTTAAGCGCGATACCA